CCAGGAGAAAACGCAGAAATATTACCAACAAAAATGCATAATTACCAGAACTAGAATATGGCCAAGAGACCAGGCGGCTAAAAATAGCATCAAGCTGTATCAAATTTGCCACAAGATCTTTAGTAACCAGAATTCGTTCTTCAGAAAAACAAAGTAGAGATACTGTACTGCCTCTCTTCACGCCTCACGTGTATGGGAGCGTAACGCCTACCCACTGCAACGTTGCAGTAGCAAATTGCTCTTTGTGGCTTGCACATCTTACAGTTCGGGATTTGACAAGATCAAAACAGGCGAGACAGCTGTGGAGATTTTGCTTTTTCTGCCAAAGTTACGACCTAACCAAGGTGATTTTTTTTTAATGTTTCTTCTCTTTTGAAAGTATTTTAAATGCTCCTGGAGGAACAGGACAGAAAGCTTAGAAATGGTGTGGTGGCTTTATGAAACTATTCTCCACCTAGAAATGCTATTTTTCTGGCTCTTATCGTCCATGTGAGTTTGGTCTGGTGTGTAATAATAGTTCTGTTTCATTCACAAAGGTTACGTGAGAGCCAACATAATTGTCAGACATTGCCAAATTATCAGCAGCAAATCTTTTGTGAATTACTGAATGATGGGACTAGATTGGACCAGAAATGCAGAAATTTCCAGTGCTCTTTCATTAAGTCTCATCATGTTTCCTACAGAACTGTCATGGCCATCTTGTGCATGATACAGTTCACAGCCATAGAACAGTCATCCACTCGGAATGTTCCTTTTTGATCCTCACTGGCATATTCAAAAGAGGATCTGTTTGAGGAGGCTGATTTTGAAACTAAATTTCACATCACTCCAGAATACTAAAGTCCGTGGATTTAACAAAGATGCTGACTTGAAAGCCTGTCACAATCTACATAATCCATGTAAAGCAAGGCTGACTAACATTCATTCCTAGACCCTTTTCCTACAAATGTTGTAACTGACCAAGAGCCAGAAACATCTGCTTTTAACCTGCGGATTTTCTTGGACTTTGCTGCTGCTTTGTCGCATCTGATGGCTGTAATCATGATTGCATGGTCACTTGGACATAAGTAGGGGTCACCAAAGGGGAGGTTTGGTGCTTTCTTGTCACATCTAGCGATACATTCCTATTGCTTCCAATGTGACAACGCTGGCACTTGTACAGTTGTGTATTGTGCTTGTGTACCTCACAGCCGCCACGGTGGCAGGAGGGAGGTTCACAGCTAAGGGGACGTGGTTGCTAGTCCTCCTATAGCAGCCAGGACTGATAATTCACCTGATGTGACTGTGGAATCATATCTAAAGTCACTGATGACCTATTTACATTTAAAACTACTAGCTGGCTTTCTAGTTCGAAGTGGCAGATAAGCCATTATCTCTGAAATGCATCTACGAGTTATCTCTTCGAATCTGCAAAATAAAAGTTTCTGGAAGTGCTGTCTGCCAGTAGGTATCTGCTAACGCCACAGCTGTGTCCTGCTGGGTAAAAAATAAAAAAAAAAGGCTAATGTTAATTTTATTGTTGTTCTTGGGTATCTGTGTGCCAAGTGTTAAGTGAATGGTTTACCTTTCATTTTCTTTCTGCATCCTGATGTCAGCTGCATATAACTAGATCTTCATTAGCACACTGAGATTGTGGGGTTTTTATGATGGGTCACTGGAAAAATAACATTAATACTATACAATTTGATCCACTACTCATAATAAATAAAAATGCTGAGTCTGGAGTATGGTCTCTTCATTTACTCATGTGGTTTTGCTTATCTACGGTTGTACTGTAAACTGTTTTGTTAAGGGTATACCTGGTTTTGTTAGGAAGGAACAACTGATCCAACGGTCAGTATTCTAAAATTAGTAGGAAGATTATCCTTGACACTGGAGAAGGTTCTTGAACACCTGTCAAACAAACAGAACTCTCAGTCGATGGATTCAGGGCCAAATCCTGATTTTTTTTATCACTGTGCACATCATTGTCTTTGGGTCAGCTTTTCGATGCGGCAGGGAACCAAGTCCTTAGCAGAGCAGAGTTCCACTACAGTCGTTTCACTGAGAATTAAAGGAGTTTCTTGCACCCACGCTGGATAAAAGGAGAAAAAAGTATGGATTAGAGCCCACCAGCCAATACGCATCCAATTCCATTTAAGTAGAGTTTGTACGAAATGGAGAATCCAGACTCTCAGTGTCAATGACAGCATCTATATGTATCCAAAGGTAAGTATGGCTTTCATTTACTACCTCAATTTTCTTCCGCAAATCAAAAAAAAATTCACAAGTGAAACAAAAGCTCTTGTGGTTTTTTGTTGTGGTGGTGTTTTTTGTTTTTTTTTTTTAAATTGTTTGGGGCTTACCAAAGGGGTAAAAAACTGTACTTGAGCTAATCTATGTCAGAACAGATGCTCTGCATTAAAATTTTCTTAAGTAATAGGTGGTTTCATCACATCACTGCTTTTTGTATTGGTGTCTTCACGAACAAATATTTTGCACTGACAGTGTCACTATATTCATAGTGTCCTTTTGGGGGTTTTCTTCCAAGCTGGTTTCTGTCGCTCCAACTTCTGCTAGTTTCCATTCAAGCTCTGTAGAAACGAGTGACAATTTATTCTGAGAATTGCAGTAAATTCTCACTTAAGGGGAAAAGGACTTTTGTTAAAGACCAAGGTCCATCTCAACATTGGGACAACCCAGCTTCATCTCGGTAGAATATCTAAATGTGAAATTGCAAAATATCTGCTTATCCCATATTCTTCCCACAGAATTACATAAATTAATCCTTTGCTTTTTGTAGACTTTTTTTTACAAAAATATTCAAAAACCTTTTCTACCTTTAAGCAGTGATCTTTAGAACTAATGATTACAAACAACTTAAAACTTTCTATAACATGAATTATTTAAAAATATTTCTCATACCTTCTGCTTTAAGATCTATTCCCCCACATTCAGCTACTCCAAGGAACCTGCCTTTTATTTCACCGGTTTTACATACAAGTATTGTGGGTGAGTGTCTGTCGTAGTAATTCTGAGTGCAGCTCTTTGCAACGGCTTTGGGACACTTGACTTCTGGCAACTTTACGGCTAGCAGGCTGAGATGTGCGTTAACCAGTAAACACGTAGGAGTGCTAGAAAATAATAAAGTATGATGATGTTTCCGGTGTAAATGATTTGTAAAATAACTGAAGTTATTAAAAATAAAGCCTTTGAAGAATAAATGTACCTTTTCCTATAGTCTGCTTCTACTTTAATTTGTTATTTTGGCACCACAAATTTATACTTAGCTGCTTCTAAGATACTTGTGATTTAAAGAGCTGCCCAAGTAAAAATTTTCAATGCATACACAATAGGCACAGTCTATAAAGTATGTCGGTAAAGCTACCAGGCGCTTCAAGCATTGTGCCTGAATTTTGTTCTCCACTAAGACTTTAAAGCTCTTGTCCATTTATTGTAGAGTTTAAATGAGATTTTTTTTTTTTAATCTGTAATATACATTTTACTTTCATTTATTTGGCTTTCAGCTTAATGTTTAATTACTTCTTCATTCTTTTAGTAAAATCTAAGTAATGTCAGGGAAACCTTTCTGTACTCATATTACCACCATTAGGCCTGTTCATTACTTTCATAGCTCCTATTTGCGATGCAATCACCATATAAACCTCAGTTAAAACAAACAAACAAAACTACTAGGTTTTTTGTTCCCTTCCAGCCTGTTAGCCTTTTAGAAGTTAGGATCTTTGCTGTGACTGACCATCGTGGTTTAACCCTGGCTGGCAACTAAGCCCAACCAGCCACAGTGGGATCGAGGAGAGAATTAGAAGCATAAAAGTGAGAAAACTCATGGGTTGAGATAAAGACAGTTTAATAGGGAAAGCAAAAGCCGCACACGCAAGCAAAGCAAAGCAAGGAATTTATTCACTGCTTCCCATCGGCAGGCAGGTGTGCAGCCATCTCCAGGAAAGCAGGGCTCCATCACACCTAACTTGGGTTACATGGGAAGACAAACGCCATCACTCTGAACATACCCCCCTTCCTTCTTCCCCAGCTTGATAGGCTGAGCATGTGTCATATCTGGGGGTTGGACTAGATAACCTCTGAAGGTGCCTTCCAACCCAAAACATTCTATGATTTGATACGGTGTGTAATATCCCTTTGGTCAGTCGGGGTCAGCTGTCCCAGCTGTGCCCCCTCCCAGCTTCTTGTACCCCCCCCAGTCTCCTCGCTGGTGGGGTGGGGTGAGGAGCGGCAAAAGCCTTGACTCTGTGCAAGCCCTGCTCAGCAGTAATGCAAACATTCCTGTGTTATCAACACTGTTTCCAGCACAGATACAAAACCAAGCCCCATACCAGCTTCTGTGAAGAA